ATTCATTTCAATCGGTTTAAGAGTGTCGCGACGTGCCTGATTCTCATGGCAAATAAATGAACCGAATCATGGTTTGAATCGTTCATAAATTGCGTATTTCAATGAATATGTTTTTTGTTTTGTTTTGTCTTTGTGCAGAAATCGAAACGAAATCGAAGCACAAATTTTGTGCACATTTTTTGCACATTTTGCTGCTATAATTAATTGAACTTTTATGCGAAATCGAATAGGAATCGCCAATAGAAACCGAATTCGAAATCGCAGGCAAAAAGCAGAAGCAAAAACAGAAACAGAAACAGAAACAGTAGCCATAAAACAAGACAAATGGCCAGATAATTTTATTCGATTCTCGGTTCGGTGGCTCACATTTCGCATTGATAAGCAACGCGAGGAAGCGGGAGGAGGAGGAGGAGGGGCCTGGGAGGCATCATCGTGATAAGGCGGCCAGGGGCCAGCCAGTCGAGGCCGCACATTGAGAAAATGCTTCCTGTAATGCCACCACCGCCGCCGCCGCCGCCGCCGCCGCCGCCGCCTGACATTGAACCAAAGCACTGTACTTAGACTCGTAATACACCGAAACCCCCCTCCCCCCTCCCCACACTCGTGGAATGGGACTCTAAAAATCTAGGTAATTGTGTCTGCCGCTCATAATGCTCCGAAAATTATTGTCTGTTTCGTCTGGAAATGTGTGAGTAATGGAAAATAGAATATAGAAAATGCTCGCACACAACTCTGATTGATTTAGAGATCATTTTTCATACTTCCTTCTGAAAGGTAAGTACTGGAGTGGAACTCTTGATGTACAAAAAAGATGGAAAACAAACATTTCACCCAAAAGGGGTTCATCGGGCTTTAGTTTTTTTTTAATAAAGATTGCAACAAACTTGTGGTCGAAAGTACTCGAAATCTTTGGCAAAACTTCCCCCCCAAACGGAACGGCATACTCTAAAGCCTTTAATTTATTTTAAAAAGAGAACCAATGTAGATTTCTAATGAGCATTTTAAAAATAAATGATCTCAATTGGTTTTTTGAAAATTGAATTAAGTGCTCTACAACCTCAGATTTTCCCATTTCCCACTTAGTTGTCGTTTAAGAGAGACTTTGAGGAAAAACTTGTATCAAGAATCATCTTTCTTATAGAAGAAGATCGTAAAAGCCTATAAAAATACCCAAATAAAAATCGAAAAATCGATTAAAGTTAATAAAATGATTAAACTTGTTTAAACTTTTTCAGTTTCAATAAATTTAGAATATAATATCAGGACAAAAGTATATAGCAATGGGTGTAATGGAAGACCCTCGAGGAATATCAGTTTCAAAATTTCAGTAATACAAAATCTGTGAAAAATAGCAGGGCTTACCGATTGATTATCCTTCAAGAAGAAAAGATTATCCGAAGAAAACCATAGAGAAGATTCCATGGACAAGGAGTAAAGTCCGGGTTCGGGTGTTCTATCTATAAGCTGGAACTTCCATCTCCAAAACCGTATATACTACATCTAAGACTCTCCCCTTACTGATCCATCAACCATCCAAACATCAGACACAAAACGCCAAAACCAACCGCAACACTGCCTCTGCCTTTTGGCCCTTTTTTTTGGGGGGGTCACTTCCGGGTCATGCCCTGCAGCCCAGCCCGCATCTGTGCCGCATTTTGCACTTGTATAAATTTATAGTATAAATGAACTGAACTCTGGGGGCGCTCCTACGGAAGACATTAATTAGTTAATTGTTTTGTTATTGTGACAAAATACGCGCCGCGCCGCACCGCACCGCACCGCCCCGCACCGCACCGCGCCGTTCGATGATTGATGGCCGTTTGATTTTTGTGGATTTTGTGGAACTCTGGAAATTAGCCATCATTTGTTGGCCTGCCTGTCAGCAGTTGGGGCTGGAAGGGCGGGGGGTTGGGGGGGGTGGGGCGATCATCAATCATCAATCCGTCCAGGACTCTTGGATGCCACAGATTCTTTGGAATCAACCAGCAAACGGATTCCCTTGCCACTTCCTACGGAGAGTTCAATTTGTTCTTCTAAGATCTAAGATCTGCTTTGTTTTTTTTCTGCTTTGTTTGGTTTTGTGTGTACTTTTGTTCATTTAATAGCTGAAAAGTGATGCTGGCAGAAATGCTGTGTGTTCTTTTGTTGCTAATGATATGGGGGGATATATATAGCATATAGAATGTATGTATATATATAGATAGTCATGGCATCGCGCAGCATCAGGTGTATTTTTTGATTTGATTGATTCCTGTTCTATTGTCTTTTGTCTTTTGCGGGATGGGATAATCATTCAATTAAATGCCATTACAGAGTGGTTTTCGGGTTTCTTTTCCGCCTTTAAATTCGAGGGATACAAAGAGGTCACTGGGGCGATCGGTCTTTTCCTGCGGGGGGGAAAGGGGGAAGCCTCTCTGATAGATTAATTTTCATTGCGCTCATTATGGTGGATTCTTTATTTTTAGAACCGTGTTTGTTTGTACTACTCTGAAAATAAATCTCAGTTCTGAGCGAACAAAGATATTTCCTATTTATAAAAATGTAAAGACATAATGGCCGGCAATTAGCTGAGGTTTTGTGTGCCTCCACACTTCCGCTTTTTCGGGCTTTGGGGCCTTAAACCATATTAACGCACACAAAAATAAACCCAACAAAGATCCATCATGTTAGAACTTTTGAACCTTAAAGGTGACTGGTAAATGGAATGAGATTGTTTTCAATTAAATTTCAGAGATTTTTAAGGCATTGAAGTGATTAATTCGTGAAAATCATTGCTCCCGAACGAAACACACACAGGAAAGTGTGTGTGGGAGGGTGCCCCCACTGGATTGGTATTGGCATTTGAATACCCTGCAGTCTCTGTGTGTGGCCTGCATAGGGTATCTTTCTCAGCAGCTGGGAGAGCTGGGAGGCATTGCTTTTTTTCGGTCATTGGGTCATTATATGATAATGAACCCCCCCACACAGAAGCTTCAACGTTTTCTTGTAATTTGTTTGGCCTTGAAGCCTCGCGGCTTGTAGAAGATTTCACAGCCAGCCAGCCCCAAAAGAGAGAATATACAATGCCAACAGCAGCAGCAACCGCAGAATATAAGCCAAAGCCAGAGCTAAAGCAAACGATCATAGACCTGCCGTAAAGCATGGTTTCAGCTTCAGCTGGAGGTCAAACCCGCTGTGCTGTGGAGGAAAATCAAGTTTACAAAACTCCAAAGCAAGTAATTACAGCGTTAGAGTCGAAGTCGAAGTCGAAAGCACCAGTAGCCACCATCCATGGCGGTTGATAAGAATCGCTGCTGCGCTGGGCTAATTAAAGGCGACCACAAGCAGCCTGGAGAGAGAGAGAGAGAGAGTTCAAGTACACCAGAAAGCAATGGCATGGTATGGTTGAAGGCAAAGAAGTCGATTCCCCATCAAATCAATAGCCAATCAATTCAGTCAAGCATCAAAAATAGAAACTACCCGTATGTATAACCAATGTACCCCCATCTGTAGCGGTAGGGCAACATTTGGCTACTGTAAAGTGTTGAGACAAGACAACCTGTTTATTAAATTCACTTTGTTGGCCAGAAAATCAATCAGCAGCAAAGCAGCGTAACAATAAGCATTAGATGTTGTGCCGTGTGGCCTTCATTTGTGCTGTGAACTTGAGACATTGGACGCACTCTCGCACTCGCACTCGCACTCGCACTCGTAATCGCACTGTCAATGCGGAATCCGCGCAAACGGAATTGAATTATTTTTGCGACAAACTGCCTCGAAAAGTTTAACGACTCGCTCCAATTGTTGGCCCCACAAACAGTCGAGTCGGAATCTGTTGCTGGGAGATAAGCCAAAGTGGTAATTGGCACATTTTTGGCTTAAGTGAATCGAGCTTAAGCGCCTAAGGGTAATGATCTGGACAAGATTTCCTTAATTAAAGTGAAATCACCAAAAACCAAATATAAAAAACTATTTTTAAAGTACGCGCCAAGTCGTATCGATTATCGAATTTATCGACTACATCGTTACGGTACATCGTTAACTAACGTTGCGGCCTACAAAACACATATGGGAATTGCGCTTAACAGCAACACAAAACATCCCGTTTACGGTATTTTATATACTTTTCGGTATATGCTGAGGTCAAAATTGAGCCGACGGTATATCGGTATATAATGGTATATTTTGTCAATTTCATCAATCTATTTTATTTTCAACGGTAGAAATCCAATAAAAGCAAGTATTGAAAATAAGCCTCAAAATCGAGGCATATGAATAATTCGTCGGCATATTTTGAAAATGAGACCGTATATTTCGGTATTTATTTGAATCGGGTAGAATCTGTAATAACCAGTTCACAACAATGAGTCCCATTCTATAGACAAACATGTTGCTAATTCCATGTATGTGTACCCTGGGGAAATGGATGTTATAGAACTGAGAAAATGTTTGTCATCCCAGGCTCCGTAGGTTACAAGATACTTATCATATGAATGAATATGTCTGAAACATATCAATTTGGGATAATTTCTTTATTAATTACGTTTTAAAAACAGTTTGAAAAACATGATCTTCATATTAAATTAACGAAATAGGGTATAGAAAGACCTATACACGTATCATGTTTTCAAATACCAGCAACATTGCGAATGTTTTTTTTTGTTGAACTATTTTGTTTAAACCTTGTTTTACAAGCCAAAATACAATAAAAGCAAGGACTAAAAACTCGTACATTTTGAAAAAATTGATTCATCAACGGGTTAAAATGATGTGGGCAGAACTAAGGGTTTCAGTTAGCCAGAATTATTCCACGGAATATGAAAATCGAGAAATATGCCTAACAGAAATTTAATTAGTCAGTATATTTACGGTAGATTTTGACAATGCGACGGTATTTCTCAGTATCTTTCTAAGGGTCAGACCGCATTTATGGCCGCGGCCACACTATCAACCCAACAAAAAAAACGTGCTGTCAGAGTCGCGCTGAGTTTTTGAATTTAGGCTATTTTTTCTGTTTTATTGTTTTAACAAATATGGTTAATGCTAAAAAAGATCTACTGTGCGACTACTGTGGCACCACCAATGAACCCGGCAAGATTTTGTCGTCCAAAAAGGCGTTTTACGGCAACAAACTTAGCGACATTCTGCACGCCATCACACAACGCCATGTAAGTACAGGCTATGGAAAATAACAAAAACAAAAATATGGCCCTCTGATAATTGGGGACACTTTATTTCAGATTCCACCCACTTCGGCCATCAAGGTGTGCTTCATTTGTTTCTTCAAATTTGTGCAATGCGAGCGCACAATACAGGAGGCTCGGGAGTTTGTCGACAGAAAAATGAGCGGCAACGCCGAAGAAGAAGATGCATTGGATGAGGCGGAGGCAGAGGTGCCAAAAATAAAGCAAAAGCCAATGAAGAAGCGTAGTTTCTCCGTGCCTGGACTTGGGACCTTGGACCCGTCAATGACGACGACTACGACGTCGTCGAAAATCGTGGCACCAAAGCCCAAACGCTCTGTCGGGAAGGCTGCTGCTCCAGTGGGCGAGGCGAACGATGATAATGATATTCATCTAGATGACTCCGTGTCACTGTTGCCGGCAAAACCGGCAATCGACAAAAAAAACACCTCGGTGCTGGGTGTATTCGGTATAGCAGCCGAGAATCCTGTCGATTTGGAGGTTGAGGTGGTGGCGGATAGCGAATCGGAGGAGAAGGGACTAATACCCGAAACATTCGAGTGCAAGCAGTGCGACTTCAAAGAGAAGTACCCAAAGAAAATGAAGCAACATTACATAGAAGTCCATGGACAGCATCGTCCTCGAATTTACTTTTGCCCAATGTGCACAAAATCGTTCGGGGTTGCCAAAACCCTCAAGGAACACGCCAAGGCGATCCATGGCCTTGAAATGGGTAAAGAAAAGAGCGGCGCGGGCAGGGCTAAGACTGTCGAGAAGGAAGTTCAGGTGGCGAAGGACGAAGTTCCGGCTGTAAAGAAAAGCAAAAAGACCGCTGTGAAACTGGTAATGGAAAAGGCAGTAGAGAACGAGGCTGCAGCAGAAGATGATGGTGAAGAGCATATCGAAGTCATAGAAGCAAAGAGCCCTTCTCCTAAGAAGCAGAGCGATGTACAGCCCCAGACACCTATTAAACACAAGTCTCCACAGAAGCTTCAAACTCCAGTCAAATCGGTGCAGAACAATGATGATCCAGATACGCCTGGGCTGTCTGTCATCCGAGCCTTGAACGAGCACAAGAAGAGGAAGGATGTGACCAACACGGAGTACACATTTGCCATCAACGGGTCGAGTGCCTCGACGCCAAAGCCAAACGGCACGGCAATGCTGATCTGCAACATTTGCGAAACGGAGCAGCCGTCCGTCAAGATGATGCAACGCCACATGTCCGAGTCGCATGGAATTGAGAAACCAAAGATATTCAAGTGCCACAAATGCGAAAAGTCGCTGGCCAGCAAACAGTCGCTGAACTATCATTTGAGCTCGCATTTGGCCCATCCCGATGCAGAGGTGAAAACCAAACGGAAAATACTACACAAGAAGGAACCTCCCCTCAAGCGAAAGGAGAGTTTTACAAGCAAAGAAGTGGAGGACGACACCGACGATGTGGCTGATGGGCCGCCGTCTTCTCCCCTCAACAAGAGCAAGAAGCTGTCGCTGACCTCCAATGTTCTGGCAGTGTCCTCTCCCGCCAAGAAGAGCAAGAAGATGTCTGAGACTGCCAACGCTGTGGCTGTGCCTTCACCCACGAAGAGCCAAAAGGAGCCTACGGTCTCGCTTGTCTCAGACGAAGAAAAATGGGTTCTGCCGCGTCCCAAGAAGGCGAAGAAGGAAAAACAGTCATCGGAGTCGGAGTCCGTCAACATCTCGAATAGCAACGAGCAGAATGAATCGCAGGCCTATCCTCTCGAAGATATGTCCGAAGTCAACCACAAAGTCCAGCCCCACAAGCGTGAAATGCTGTCCTCCACCTCCGAGTCCACCACCGCAGACGAGTCCGAGTTCAACTGCAGCCAGTGCCCGAAAACTACCAAATCGCAGCGACGTCTCGAATCGCACATTACCAAAATGCACGGCCAGTCGCTCAAGTGCACCCACTGCTTCAAGAAGTTCCACACTCGCCAGTCCTATGTGGTGCACTTTGATGAATGCGAGGGGAACGAAGAAAACCCAGGACTGCCGTGCGGCGTACGCAAGTGCAATAAGAGCTTTGAGGCTCTTAAATTTTTGGAGGAGCACTTGAAGAAGCGCCATCACTGGTAGACTGGAGACCTGAACATATTTGCGACCACAATGAGGAGGGAGCACCCCACTTAAATTTAAGAGAAGGCGCCACTTGTAAATTCAAAATGTACACGGATGTACATTAGATGGCATTTTTGGCACTAGCACGAGGAGGCTTTTCCACCGCTCCAACTTGACCTTTATTTCTTGTTAAATTTTTAATTAATTAATTTTTATTTTTTGGAAAATAAATGTAGACGAAAAGACATTACACAAGAAGAGAAACTTTGTTGGTTTTTGCATTTGATTTCCATTATATTTCCCAGCAAAAAACAGAAGAAAAACACGTCTAAAAAGAGGATTTGGATGCGGATGTGGATGTGGATGTGGAAATGGAAACAACATAGAATATTCTCTAATTACACTTTTTCTACTTAATGTAAATGATGATAACGATAATGGTGACGTGGGAGGCCAGCTGTCCCGTCTTCAGGATGTCGTGGTGGTCCCCACCTTGCCATGGATCTCTGCCTGGGCGATCTTCATCACATCGAGGGCTCCCTTTTTGATCAGCTCCTCGGCGAGGTTCTTGCCCAGCAGATTCGCTCGCTCGTACACCTGTCGGCTGTAGCATGGATGCTGGTAGAGGCCGCAGAAGAGATTGTCCACGTCCTCAATGAGCACCGTCTGGGGCTTGGGCTGCTCCTCGTCCGCGTAGTCGAACATTTGCACTGTCTTCTGGAGGAACGGGCACTTGGCCGGGGCTCCGCTCTCTTTGGGCGGCGCCTCGAGGCCACTGCCCTGATGCATGGCCGCGAAGGGGCACTTGGAAGACACCGTTGCCACATTGTCCACCTCGTCACCGATGCTGCTGCCAATGCTGGCCCGACTGCTCGGCGGAGTGGGAAGAATCGGTTGAGCAGGTACGGCCCCGGCTGCTGCATGGGTCACTGGACACTTGCCGGCCTTGGCATACGAGATCTTCGTCTCATTATTCACGTAGGGGCACTCGCCCATAAAGTCCACGCCCACTGGCATCTGCAGGGGACAGTGGGGGGTCGGGTTGACATTGGAAGATGTATCTGAATCTCCTGCTGCATCGCCCCCCGAATGAGAGATCACATCCCTCTGCATCGGACACCGATTGGCATTGGTGGTGTCGGCATCTCCTCCACCTGCATCTCCGCTGGCGCCCAGAGTGTTGTTGTTGCTCAGAACAGGGCACTGGCTGGCCAGATCCGTCAGCTGCTCCACGCTGTACCCCGCCAGAGCCTCGCAGGCAGCCACATCCTCACAGATCACCGGGGGACTACCCTGCGGGCGGGGTGGACTACTAGAATTCGAGTTGGAATCGGAGGAGCCAGAGCCCGAGCCCGAGCTGCAGTTCCCATTCCTTGGTCGCTTGCAGGCCGGCGGGGAGTCGCAGCTGCTGCTGTTTTCCTGCTGCTCCTGCAGCTGCTGCTGCGCTCCGCGTTTCCCCGTTGGCTTCTCGCTCAAGGCGCACGACAGATGGTTACGAATCTCAATGGCACCATCCAGACTCCAGACAGCGCCCGTGAGGGACAGGCCCACATCCTGGCTGTTGGCGTTCAGGGGTTCGCCCTGAAGATTGCTCCAAACAGCCACCGGGGCAGAGCAACCGCCACCCAATGTCTTGAGGAAGCTCCGCTCCGCCAGAATGCGACACGTGGTGTTCAGGCACATGAGTTTCTGCAGCATCGCCAGCACTTGGACATCGTTTGCGCGACACTCGACGGCCAGGGCGCCCTGTCCGACGGCATAGAGGAGATCGGTGGGCTCCAGCACCTGGCTGATGCGGCTCATCCATCCCATCCGCACAAGACCCGCCTGGGCGAGGATAATTCCCGCGAACCTCGAGTCGGCGGCATCAAGTTTCGCCAGGCGCGTGTTCAGATTCCCACGGATATCGCAAACGATTAAATGGGGATACAGCCGTCGTATCTGTGCGGTGCGTCGCAGCGAAGAGGTGCCTAAAAAGAGGGAATCCCTTAGATTAGACACGATCGAAGTGTACCCTCTCTGATCTCTCACCAATCACACTTCCTTGTGGCAGAGAGGCTATCGTATGGCCCTGGAAGTTCTCGCGCAGAACCAGAGCATCCCGGGCATCCTCTCGCTCTAGGACTGCCCCAATGGCCATGCCCGTCGGTAGAGCCGTTGGCAGATCCTTCAGCGAGTGCACCACAAAATCGACACCGCCATTCCTTAGAGCATCTTCCAGGTCGCGGGTAAACAGACTTTTTTCACCAATTTTGGGCAGTGAAACATTAAGGACACGATCTCCGAACGTCGACATGGTGTCTGCAGAGAGGATAAGATTGTATTAATGGTAATTCGGTGACTCCTATAGATCTAAGATCTATATTCTTCCTCCCACTACCTATCTTTAGTCTGTAAATCATCTATTATCTCTGGAAGGGTTGTACCCCTTAATTGCATTCTCGCCTGTTAGATAAAGGGGAACCGGAACGCAACAATAGCCAGTAGCCAGTAGCCAGAAGCGTACCCCCTCCTCTATTCTCCCTTCCATTCCAGAATTATGACAACAATCAAGCGGACGACATGCCATGCCACCATCGAAGTATCTATCTATCTATCTATCTTTGACACTTCCCGCACCTCACCTCACCACACCACACCGCACTCTTCCGCTATCGTCAGCACGCAATGATAATGTTATGTATTTTGCGAGGCGAATGTTTTGCTTATCGTCCGAGGGGGGGACGGGACTCTGAATATAATTTGAATATTGTACTATGCAGAACAGTGGAAGAGGATGTTGCGTGCTTGCGACATTTTCATGAAATATAATATCGATCAAAGGAGTGACATCACATCACGGCATATTATATTCCCCCCACTCACTGTGCTATGCACAAACCCCAAGATGAATCATTCATTGTACCGTACTTCTACAAAATTATAAATTCCACATCTTATCAAAGTCCAAAAGGTACTCCAAAAAAATTGTCTGATTAAAATGAATATTTCAAAAGATTTCGCTGCTATTTCAAGCGATTAAAATGTTTTGGAATATCTAATCGGTACAATTTCACAGATACATATGAACAGAACGAACTGCCATTAATGCTGCAATCAGATCGGATATGCATATACATACGCACTATATGTGACTTATACACGTTTTGGTGTCCGAAAGAGAGTGGTTCGATTTGCGTGTGTGTGTGTGCATGGCATAACATTTCGGCACTCGTTCGGCCCTAATCTCGAAAACAAAAAGCAAAAGCAAAGGCAAAGCCAAAAACAAAACCACAGCAGCATTGACATTGAACAAAACTCTTTGCCAAAATGATGGCACGTGAGCGAGTGAGAAAGAGAGACGATCGTAACGGAAGAGGCCAAATAAAAGCAGGAGAAGAAGTGAAACAGCAGAACCGGCTGGGCTGGGCTGGCGACTGGCACCGTTAAAGCAGCAAATCAGCAAATCATATGCAATCCATTCGAAACGAACGAAACATTTGTTTTAGTTACTATCAAAATACGATAAGACCTAAGACCCGATGATATTCCCGCGAGTCATGCTTCGAAAACATTATTTGAAATAAATACAAAAAACCCCGCCTTCCGCCCCCCGTCCCATACGCAAACGCAGCATGAGTTCTGCTTTTTTCAAAACACTACACAGCACAACACAACACCCCACTACACACACATACTTTCACTTACGTATCTCGAACCGCTGCTTGGGATACAGTTTCTGGAGTCGGCCGATGACATGTTTGGTTTGAATGAGAGCCAGCTGTAAGCAAAAGTAAAGAGAAAATAATTAATCAAAGTCGCTGCTTGGCGCGCTACTTAAATGCTAAATGCAAATGAGCCTCAAGTGATCGGAGTGAGAGAGAGGTGGAATTGGGGCTAAGTAAGGCGACAGCGGTTGCCCATTAAAAAAAAAAAACCAAGTAATTTCAAATATAAATTCCATCAGCAAAGGTGGCCTTCATTTTTTTGTTGTCGTGTGTAGAGTTGTGCGCACAGCGCCAAAGGTGGCTCCGCTTGCAATTAACAAAAAATAAACCTCAAATCCAAAAAAAAAGACCACTCTCTCGCTCACACACACACACACGCACGAATATTTCAAGCCAAGGCAGCAGCTTGAGAAGAGATCGTGTCGTGAGTGAAAAGCACCACAAATCGAGTACACATATGCCTCTCCTTTGCCCCCCTCCTCTCTTTAGTAAAGTGCGTGCCTTTGCTGTTGCTGTGCGAATTGTGTAACAGTGACGAAAAAGCATAGACACCACCGTGTGAGGGGAGGGATAGCGGAGCGCGCAGCGAAGGCAAGCAACAAGTCTCATACAAAAACAGAAACTCTTGCATAAATGCGGGCACCGTGCGAGTGAGAGAGAGAGAGAGAGAGAGAGACACAGGGAAAGAGGAGAAGGATGGAACGAAGGGGGCTTGACACGCGCTAGACAAAATGTGATTGAAATTCAAATGTACAACAAAATGAGTATTTTAATTTAAAGCGGATGCACATGTGTGCACATATCTGTAAAACTTTGCACTGTCGATAGTCCACTTACCTCGCTCTTCCGCGACCCCACTCGTATGACCTTTTCCTGCGCAGACATGCTTTTAAGTTAAATTTTAACTAAGTAGTATTGCACAATAATTTGTTTATGCTAGGTTATTTGTTCGTTGTATTGTTGTTGGTGGCTGGACGTCGTGGATTGGAGTAGTAGGAAGAAGTGAAAGTGTGTGCGCGGGGACAGCTTTCGGGGTCACACGTTGCCAGCATATATGCCAGTAGAGAGAGAGAGAGGGAGAGAGAGAGAGAGCGAGAGCCTGTCTTCCCAGATGATGAACGATGAATGAAAACGTAAATGCACGCACTATCCAAGACACATAGTTGGATTATTGTCACGTTGGCTTTGTACTAATCGGTTGGAAGGCGACTCGATTCAAGAATCAATTGGATTTTTCGCTGGCCGATACTACGTCCGAGCAAAAAGAATTGCAGCAAGACATTGGAGATATTGGGGGCGCAGCACAGCAGCAGAACAGTGGGGCTTGGAGCTGGCAGACCGCCGATAGAAGGGTTGGGGATAAATCGATAGCGCTATCGATACATCGGCGACGGTCAGTCGATAGTAAGACATCGCCACAATCAGCTGCTTGTCAGCAAAACAAATATCAAAACAAAGACGATACGATGCGAAATTAAAAGAAATCCAATAAAAATGTTTCTGGTGAGCGAAAACCAATACAAAAATTCTCGTCAAAGTCCCTAATGTAGCTATCCGCACAGTTTATCAGCCGTCCCATGGGGACCCTGGCCAATCGCATGCAGGCGATTCGCGAGCGTCTCGGCGATGATGTGACTGCCCGGCTGGATGCTCTCCATCTGAACGCCCTGAGGACGGGACTGGTGTCCGTGGAAGATCTGCAGGAGGCCTATCGCAAGACGCGCGACATAAATCGCAATCCCAATCGCCTGAATCACCTGTGGCTCGTGGGAATCGTTTTCTTCATAATGGTGGCCACGCCAGTCTTCTACGAGACCATATCGTTTCTGCTCGGCGTGCGCTGTTTCCTGCCCAACAACTACCTGGTGTGGGAGGCCACGCGACCCATCAGCGATTGTGCATTCTGCAAGGGCGTGCAGGGTCCTCTGATTCTGTCAAATCTGACGCGTGAGGAGTTTGCCCCCCACGCATACTCCTCCCTGCCGATCATTGTGAAGAAGGCCGTGGCCCACTGGCCAGCCCAGAAGAGTCTGAGCTTTGGCTACATCCGGGATCTGTATGACAGTGTTCCCGGTTCCATAGAATCCGTGTGCCAATTCCAGCACTTCAACTCGGACTTGAAGTCCCTCAAAGAGGTCTTTGAGATGCAATTGGAGCGGTCAAATCTCAGCCAAGGAGCTCCTTGGTTTGTCGGCTGGAGTGTCTGCCATCCTACAGTCCTCGCAGAGCTAAGGAAACTCTATCCCCGGCCACATTTCCTGCCCGAGGATGCCGAAATGCCACACACGGACTTCATATTAATGGGCTACGAACAAGGCGCAGTGATGCACGTAAGCAAAGGAAATGCTCTGACAGATTCCATATTTTTGTATATGTTTCGTTGTAGCTGGAGTACATGCCACGTCTGATGTGGCAAGCCCAGCTGAAGGGCAACAAGAGCTGGTACTTGGCTCCGGCACCTGAATGCGACCATCAGTGCCAGCCGTTTTCCTTCTATGTAGAGCCGGGCGATGCCGTTCTTGTGGATACACGCATCTGGTATCATGCCAACACCATACCAAAGGGTCAGTTCTCGCTCACCGTTCAGTCCGAGTACGGGTGACCGTGACCGTGACCCCGTCCACTCGTCCATTAAAAGTCTGAAATTGTTCATTTAATAAATCATAATAGCATAATGCTAATTACAATTTGAATTCCAACGTTTCCCCGCTCAGTATCGATTACCGAGATGGACTGTTATCGCCAGGGTTGCTTCAGTGGCGGCGCAACACAATTCAAAAGAAAAGAAAACACGCAAAACATACAAAAAGGAAATTCACAAAAATGGAAGCGAACACCGACTTTAGCCAGTTTTGCGCGAAATTAAAGAACGAAAACTATGTGAAACACGTGAAGGCCTTGCGGGATTTGTGCGTCACCAAGTCGGTGATGAAGCCCACGACGTTCTTCGAGAGTCTGCCGAAAATGATGGAGGAGGAGGCTGCGAAAGCACCACCAAACAAGGAGTTGGGCACGGTGGCCGACTATGCGGAGCTCTTCAAGTCGCTCGACGAGTATCCCAGTAACCTGCAGAAGATCCCCAAGAAGCGAGAGACGCAGCGCGCTGCCTCCTTGGAGCAGCCGGAACTGGCGGAGGGCATGAAGCGCCTGGAGGAGCATCGCAGTGCCGCCGAGGTGTACAACGAGTTCAAGGGGTTCCAACGGAAGCTGGCCAAGGCCTACGAAGAGGCAGCCGCCCTTCAGAAGGAAGAGGCCGTGTACATAAAGAAGCTTGCGCAGCTGCAGACCTTTTCCCAGCAGATAGAAAAGCTAATGCCGACGGAGGCCGAGGCACCGCCAGATGCATTCACAGCCGATGAAGAGCAGAAGCTGATGGCAATCGCCGAAAGCATGAAGCAATTGAACTACTTGCGATCGAACCGTCTCCAGCTGCCGCATCCAAGCGATGTTTTAGCTGGTGGCAGCCTGGTCGCACGCCTGGAAATGTTTGTGGAGGTCCTCACCTTCACTCTGATGCAAATATGCTCCTACACTGCGGCTTGATACATATTATAGATTTATTATTATTCAGCTATTTAACAATAAATTCTACGGCAAGTCGTCGTCCTCTGCATCGAGATCCTCTTGGTGGGTCTTCAGCTGGTGGACAGTGTCGCACAGGGCCACCAGCTTGCGCACAGTACTGGCCAGGTGCTCGACGCGTTGTCGGCACGCCAAGACCCCATCCAATACGCTGTGCTTGTCGTCCCGCTTTTCGCTGTTTTGCTGCACGAGCTGCTTGAAATTCTCCAATATCTTGACGAGGGCCTGCTTGCAGACTGGCTTCACGTTGACCAGCTTTTGAGCCCCCGGCGCAGCTGCGGTCGGTGCCAGGGCTTTTTTTTGCGACTCGATGTGGATCAGGGTGTTGTTCGACTTCTCCATGATTTCGTCAATGGTGGCCGCCTGTCGTTGCATAGTCTGGCGATTGCTCACTGCAATGGAATACACTTTACGATGATCCAAAGTGCGTTTTGTTCAATATTTACCCAGTCCCGCCAACAGTTCGTCCACAGCATCCGGCATTTCGAATTGTTTTTGTTTTGTATCGCCGCTGTGTTGCATCTCACGCGGTGATCGGCCTGCCTGATAGTAACTATCGATAATAGCTATCGCATTTGAATTGAGTGGATTGCGGCATAAGGCCATGCTACCTGCCCCTCCCCTTTTGATTTGTTCACATGGAAAATATTGATTAAAATTTGGTTTTATTCAGTTGTTCAAATTGTATTTGACCTCTCCTCGATTTAAAATTAAAGTGTAATCTGTTTCATGGTTTGCATTACAATTATTACATTTTATTCATACACATCCTCCTTGTCGGCGACGTACTGAATAATGTCGGCAGGTTTAAGCAGTTTCTCGGCATCGGAATCTGGGATCTCGAATCCAAACTCATCCTCCATGGCCATAATGACCTCCACATGGTCCAAAGAGTCCAGGCCCAGGTCATTGATGAAATGGGAGTCGACCTTCAACTGCAAAAAGGAAAAGAAACGCATGAGTACACATATCGAGAAGAGTTTTAAGTGTTTGAGTGAATGCTTCAGTTCTTTTTGTGGCTATAAATCAACTGGCAAAGGCAATTTGTGGCATTTGTCTTGATCTTTACCTGGCTGGAATCGATCTTGTCGTACAGGCTCAGCACAAGCAAGACGCGCTCATCGATGAGCTTCAGCGACAAGGGCGGTTTCGCCGAGTATCTGCGCACCGATTGCGTTTGCCAGCGACATCTGCTCGACACCATCTCCTGTAGAGATAAGAAGGAAACACACAACCGAGTTAGTGGATCCTTGAAGGGGCTTGAAGATTACCTTATCGGCCGTCACTTTGTCGTAGGCGGACACGACTTTCAACACGCGAAACTTGATGTCCTCAATGGTGCGTTTGGCGGAATAGCTACGCAATGCGAATTTCTGTAAAAATTGATAATGAAATATATTATAGTTCAACACACACACACGCACACAGATGCAGGCCGGTGACTGTGCATGAGCGAGTGTGCTTGTGTGTGTTGCGTGAAAACAATCATGTTTTAATGCAAAACAATGTGATGCAATCATTTGGTTTGGGTCTCTGGAATCGCATTTACACATCCTACAGCACCAGACACCTTTTCAGAGCCTACATTACACACAATCTCTGCCGACGGGGGCATTTACAATGAGGTTAGGGTATAAATCGATATAACTTGTGGTTCCCATCCACAGAAAACCACTAATCCCCTGGGGGTTCTGCTTACTTGGCTCACTTGATTGGCCACGGCCGGGACGGCAATCCTGTGCATCATCCTGGCCGCCTGGGACTGAACCACGGCGCTGCTGGCCATCCGTTTGGTGCCCAGTGCCGCTGCCAGTCGGCCGCAGTTACGCGCGATTTGTGTGAACGACATTGTGATTCTCCTGAAAAAGAAACGGTATGGTGATCAGGATTAAATTGCGGTTCTGCCAATGTAAAAAATAATAATTATTGGACAATATTTACACGGATTTTCAAGATTATGTAAAAGTTCTGGAGCAAATGTGAGTGTCTCGTATATCGATAAGAAAAGAAATCGAACTTAACCCACTTAACCCCCCTCTATTTAAACAGTTCAGCGACTTGAGGTAAATGGCGGCAAATATTATTGATTGTACATTTTTCTTGTAGATCCAAGTGATATTTTTCTTCTGAACTTAAAAAATACGATATCTTATTAAATAATATTTACACGGCTTTTTCAAGAATATGTAAAAGTTCTGGAGCAATTTGTCAGTGGACTTATCGATAAAATATACACCAGGAATACACCGAAATATACCGTCTCTTCTTCAAAATACACCGTAAAGCTTGGCAGTTTTTGTTTTCATATAAGCCCCATGGAAGCGCCAGTGTAAAAAACCTCCATTATCCACTTTTGTTCCTTTTTTTCCGACATTGTTGACAAAATTTAGATTTTGCTGATCATAAATTAGTTTCTGATGTTGTATGGGCTCTAAATGGCTCTTCTACACGATTCTTACATTGGTGCATTGGACAAGAGGGTATGACCATAACGCCTTTTCAAAATGACTGGAAAATTTTAGAAAATACTATGAAAACTAGAACCACGTGCAAGGTTAGCTAAACTGGCAAGAAAATCAGAGGATTTGTCGAGCTTTTGACCCCAGTTATACCCTGGTACGTCGTCTCATTTTCAAAATATACCGATTAAAGAAACGAACTTATCCCACTTAACACACCTCTATTGAAACAGGTGATCCACTTGAATTATGCCGCGAAAAATAATTCTATTATTTACACTTGAACTGCCCTAATTCTTTACGTGAAGTGTACTTTTAATACCCAATGGTAGATTCTGTGTCGAATCGGTATCGATAATTTGTGGATCGTTAAGGCGGGGCTTCTGAAAATGGTCTTGAACTCGAAAAAATGAGCAATTTGCCATGTATATTTGGCATTAATCATTCATTTATATAAGCTTTCATATATATGTATGTATATATATTTATATAAACAAAAAAATATACATTTAGTCGGAACATAAGAATATAAAATTCAAATTAACAAAAAAAATACACAGTACATAGTATAAATTACACGAATATAACACAAAAAAAATTCATCTTTCCATTGATGTAAAGCCACTTTTTTGTCGAATGTCCTAGTAAATTCCTTATGCTGTATTAATCTGTAATAAAAATGGAGGTTAATAATGTAAATTATTGCCTCAAAAGTGGGTGTGGCACTTACAACAACCAGCTTTTTATTATCAAGCAAAACACCGGCCTCGGCGCCCGTTTGGAACTCAATGATACCGCTCTTGCCCTTGACCTTATTGTGCTCCAATCTGCAAAGGAGAACATACAGAAATTAGGAGATGTATTCCGCATTAAAATCAAAATTTTGTTGTTGGTGACTTACGAATCCCTGTCCACAATGGATACGATTTGGGCCGTGCCCACAGTATCAATGATGTACGTGCAGAACTCGATGATGCGGGGGATGATCAGGATCAGATCACCCTTGTCCTTCTTCAGGTCAAGGGGTATGCGTATGACCATCAGGTCATCGTTGTGGTTCGTCAGCGTGAAGTCAATCTTGTCGAGCGGCAGGCGATGCTTCTGCTTGTACGTCTTCCCATCGAGCACATACACCGCCTTGTTGCTCAGTAAAATGAAGCGTTCGCGCGACTTGTAGCCATGCCGATCGAATTTCGTGCAGAACGACTGATACTTGAGCTGTTCGCTGCCAAAGGTGCTGGCCACAAAGTCGTTCACCCGCTGAATGTGCTCCTTGGGTATGCGATCCTCCTGGAACCAGGTGCCGACGCTCGCCGCATAGTTGTTTTTCTTTCCTTTGAAGACCTTTTCGGCGAGAAACTTCAGCTCGAACTGACGCTTGCGCTGGGGCGTGAGGGCGAGGCGGTAGATGCGCGCCAAGTGAAGGCGATGCAGGCGATGTAGAAACTCGGAGGCCTCCTGGCAGTGGGCCGGAGCCGAGGGCCAGCTCTTGTCCAGCACCTTCTTGGGCAGCTCCTTGCGCAGTCGCAAGAGCCACATACGCTTGGCATTGGCAATAAAGTCCTCGTTGAAGCCGTTCGGCGGATCATTGCGGGTGATAAAGCCCTTGATGAAGGCCCTGATCTTGTCCGCTGCCTCGCGGCGCTGCTTGGCCGCCTGCTGGGCGAGACGCCGGCGGCAGTAGCTCTGCAGGACGATCACCTGTTCGCGCAGCTTCAGATACTTGCGCCGCTGCACCAGACCCTTCCAGTGGGCCTGAATGATGGCCGCAATGTCGTGCTTCTTCGCCTGATATGAATCCTCCGTGTCGAACAGAGTGCGCGGCCAGCGGATGAAGAGCTTTGTCTCGCCCATCTTGTATTGCTCGTTGTCGTAGCCCAGATCCTTGACCAGCTGCTGGACGCCGGCCTTGGGGCCGCCGGCCCCCTTGTAATTCGGCCACGTGGACTTGCTGAGGCACTTGTAGCGCTCCAGGAACAGATCGTAGGCACGGCGATAGGCGAAGCCAGCGCGACGCACGCGCAGGTTCTCCATGAGCCCCAGATACTTGACCTGATGCAGGACCAGCTGATCGTTGAACACGCCGGGCGACTGCAGGTCATTTGGCTTGATGCAACGGATGTAGGAGGGCTCCTTGCACATCAGGATGTCCATGAGGTTATTCAGCGATGTGCGGAATTGCGTGATGGCCGTCTCGGGGCGCTTCTTGCTGCGCAGCTCCTGCTCGGGGAAGCACGAGCGCACAATCTTGTTGCCCGCCTTGCTGAGCGTCTCCTTGAGATCGCGGAACAGCAGATCGTTGTTCTTGTCGAGGAATCCAATGACACTGTAGGTCACCTCGCCGGCATAGTGCACCAGACGGAACTCGTCGCGCAGCATGATCTTCTGGATGTGTGTGGGCGCCTTCTCGTGGCACACGTAATGGTGGTGCTCCGACAGTTTGTTCGTCAGCTTCTGGAGGAACGTGATGTCTGTGGGCTCCCCAGGGCGCAGGCACTCTTCGTCCAGGATGGAAATTATACCCTTGTGCTTCTCCTCAATCAGATTGCAGATCACTTTGTTGTCGAAATATTCCACGGGAATCCATTCGATGCCCTCGCGACGGTACTCGTCCTGTTCGGACTTCAACGTCAGCTCGATGAACAACTGCTGCAGCTTCTCGTTGCAAAAGTTAATGCAGAACTGCTCAAAGTTGTTCTTGTTGAAGATCTCGAAGCCGTATATGTCCAGGATGCCCATGACATTGTTCCTGGCGCCGCGGGTCTCCCTTGCCTGGAGCGAGATGTTCAGGCGCTGCACAAGCCACGAGAACAGGCGATCGTAGACGGCCTTTGCAAGGGCATCCTTGGCATAGACAGCCAGCTCTTGGTTCAGCGGAGACGTGACCACATCCCCGCGGGCATCAATGGTGCGGTGCGTCAGAGCGGCACTCAATTCGCTGGCATTTACGCCCAGCAGGCGAGCCACAGTGACCACCAGATCGCGACTAACGACCTGGGCATTGCCCTCGGTCTCCTCAAAGTTGACGTTACCCAAATG